TTTAATAAAATTTTCGGTTTCTTTTTGGTTTTGATGAATTCTTTTGCAAATGCGTTTATCAAGCAGCAGCCTGTGGTGTGGCGTTGGCGCAGCTGATTATGCGAGGGTTAATTAATTTACGTAGCCATGATTTTTCAAAAGTGGTGAAATGCCGAGAAGGTAAATAATGCGTTTTTTCCGTCTTCTTCTTCTTTTAATGCATAGAAAAAAACTAACCCCTTTATTTTTGATCTTGACATATTGTGGCTAATGAAATTAGGATTATTGCAATTTTTACCTAATATTTGGAAAAACTAGTCAGCATGTGATCTTTGCTCTAAGGGAAAGCACTGAAGTTTTCAAATTTTGGCTATAAAATGTGGAGCGAGTACTTGAATATTTCTCTAGAGGGGCATAGAAGTTTATTTAGTACTCATATTGTACGCATATTCCGGTTACATGCCATGTGAGGTTGGCTTACAAATTATGGACGCAGTTTTTTATAAGCAGCCTCATTAGAAGACTTGACTTTGTCATTCGAATAGAGCACAATTTTTCTGATATTAGAGACTTCTCAATAGGCAACTCCCTCGGGTTTGACTTAACCTTGAGCCAATAGCTCTTGATAGAAATGAGAAATGTCGGTTACCTTCTTTTTCCAATGATTCAGAAGCAAATTTCCCCAGAAACGCAGCTCCCGAACACACCTAATAATTGGTTCAGATCGCGACCACTTGGTATTAGTTTTCAAACTCAATTTCAAATTCGTCAAGCTGGAGGTATCGATCTTCGTCCATCTAACTGACAATTATCTAAGAAAAATCTACAATCGTCGGACTCTTTACAGTCGTAAAGCAAGCTTACTCTATAGCATGTCTTAAAAGATATATAAAAACCTATCTATAGTTTTTACCAAAATGTCGAAGAAACACGAACAAACTATATCAAAGATAACCAGAAACTAAGAGTATTTGAAAAAGAAACTATTGAAGGCAATAATTAGGCTTGCTGCTCTAAAGAACGCTTTGTGGAAGACAGTTTTTAAAGGAACTGCTCGATGTCTATTAAAAAATAAAAAAATTGTACAGCAAAATTGACATGTAACGAAGCTTTCACATTCAATATTTAAAACCAAAATTCTTCTCTCTCATCGTAATAATTTAAAAAAACCTCGACAATGAAATTTATGTTGTTGGAATGATTTTTCTCAGTTCTGGAAGTTGGCGAGTTCACAAAGGAAAGAAGTGAAGGGCTTTCTAAAAGATTGCTATGAAAGTTTGACAATTAGGTACGGCATTTTTATGTCAATCATTTTTGTACAAAAATACATTGTCATTGTCAGCACGATTTGAAACCAAGTAAGATACTATAAGTCATGCACTCAGTTGAAAAATTTAGCAAAAATCTGAAGGTAGCATAGATGTAAATGTGTATTAGCGAGCAAATTAGGAGCCGTGACTTCTAGTTCCGCCTTTTAATACTTTTCTCAGTACGTTAGACGACTAAAAACCACGCTGCCGTAGCAACACTGGTTAAGTGAGGTTAGGTCAAGTTGAGAGGTCGATCCCAACAGCGATCTCACTTGGACAGCTTACAACGCCGGTACCTTCTGGTAACTGAAACTCCTATATAATTGATCATAAGACCCTCACAAATCGACAAAGCGCTTTTAGTCTGTTACAAATTTATTGAGGCGGCTAATGTCAGTTAAGACTTGTCTTCTAGCTATGTCTTCTGGTTTGCGGAACGTAAGACTACCGAGATGGTTAAATTGGTATGAAAGCTAACTCAAGCACTATATGCAGGCTTCTCTAAAGGTTAACTTTCTTTATTTTTACAAACATAACTGCTCGTCATTGACTTGAACTCTTTAAACCAAAGCCTGCGTTAGTAAAAATATATGTAATAGAAAGAAAATGAAAACTAAGAATAGCTTACAGTTATAACACGACGATATTTTCACTTCACTATAAATTTTATGAAACTAAAATCAAGTTCAGTCTAATAAAAAACGATTCACGTGCTACTTGTAACGACCAGAAGCTAATCAAACTGCAATAAAATTGCAAACTTTATTTTCCTGCCTTCAGACTGACAACAACAAAACGCTTTGTATGTACCTCTGCATATATGTATATGCCTTTAAAAGTATGTAAATAAGCACTTAGATGAGACATTTGGTCATTACACCGTGCGCCGACGGCAGGAAGACTGGTTCGACAACAATTATTCGCGACTGTAAATAATAGAAAAACTAGTTTTTCCAAGCAGCCGCAGCTAGTGAGACGAGTGGAGGTTTTCGCGAAGCTTTAAAGTATATTTTATAGATATGTATGCATATATGCACAGTAGCAGTTGAGAACTTTGTACAGAACGCAAGCGGTAGAGGCTTAGAACAGGGTGAAAATGGCATTAGAGGTTACAATGGCCATTAAGTAAGCAGAGAAGTGATTGTAGTGAAAACAGTATAAGAAAATATTTAAATAGAATTGAAAATGATTTCAGTTGAGTTAATATTAAAGTAAATATTAATTTAAGAAATAGAAAAATTATTTTTTGTTTTGGAACTAAAAAATCTGTAGGAAATTCAGCTAGATTTTAATTAAAGAAATAATAGCTAAGAAGAAGCCAGACATTTATTTTTTTTTACCAATTTTTATGCGACAGAATAGGTATTCTCTAATCAAACGAGGAAAAATGCCTATATAAAGACACTAAAATATTAGTTTTAAGCCAATACCGCCATTTTCACTTCGACCCAAAATTTAAAACTCATACAAAAAATAACTTATTTACAAATGTACAATAGATAAGCATGTATTTGTTTTTGTAAGTACATAAAAGCTTGCCAGTAAACATTTTATTTAACCTTCGTCCTCTAACAATCAATGAAACTGAATAAAAAAAAAGTGATTTAGATAGTCAGTGGGGTTACCACGCAGCACAGCAGGGATGCTTTTATATAATAAATATATGAATACACATACATACATTTAGATATAGTAAATACAGAAGAAGTATAAAGAAATTGTACTTGAGAGGGTTGTTAAATAATTTGTTTTTCTTCTAGAAGCGGGTGGTTCGTAACAATTGAAGTTAGTGTGGTGGCAAAAATGTAAAGTGTTAAAAGAAAGTTTTTTTGAAAAAAAGGAAAAGGCTTAGAAAATAAATACAATATATTCAATTGTTGTATAGAAAAGTTGTAGTTTGAAAGCGGTAACATTCAGAGACTTAAAATATTTGAGAAGATCGCAATTGCATTGCCTTTTTGTATATACGCTAACTAGTCCCTCAGTTTTCGAGATATCGATCTGAAATTTTGCAAAAGTCAATTTCTCCTCAAGAAGTTGCTCATTTGTCGAAACCGCCGATATCGGAACACTATAGCATATAGCTGCCACACAAACTGAAAAATCACAATGAAGCTTTTGTATGAAAAACTTTTTTATTTGTTAAGGTAGCTTCACGAAATTTAGTACTTCATATTTTTAAAGGCAACGCTACTATCTCCAAACAAACTGTTCAGATCAGACAGCTATAACATATAGCTGTCATACAATCTGAAGGATTACAAATAACTATTTTATTTAAAAAGGTAACTTCACGAAATTTGGCATAAATTATTATCGAAGGTAACATTACAATCTCCGTATAAATTGTTCAGGTCGGACCACTATAGCATATAGTTCCAATTCAAACTTATCGATCAAAATCAAGATAAAGATCTCTTTTTGTAACCTTTTATGCTATAAAAAATGCACCAGTGTAGAGGGTTACAGCTTTGTTGTAACAAAAGCTAACGTTTTTTGTTTTATTATTTTCATTATTATTACTTACTATTATTATTATTTATTATTATTATTATTACTTACTATTATTATTATTTATTATTATTATTATTATTACTATTATTATTATTATTATTACTATTATTATTA